CCGTTGTCGTCGTCGTCGCCCGTCCGTCGTCCGTCGTCAGCCGTCGTCCGTCCGTCCGTTCAGGCCCGTCGTCCGTGTCCGTAGACCGTCCGTCGTCCGTCCGTCAGCCGTCCGTCGTCCGTCGTCAGCGCCGTCGTCGTCCGTCGTCAGCCGTCCGGTCGTCCGTCCGTCAGCCGAGTCCGTCGTCCGTCCGTCAGCCCGTCCGTCCGTCCGTCCGCGCGTCCGTCCCGTCGTCGTCAAGCGTTCCGTCCGTCCGTCCGTCAGCCGTCCGTCGTCCGTCCGTCAGCGCGTCCGTCCGTCCGTCCGTCAGCCCTGTCCGTCGTCGTCGTCAGGCCGTCCGTCCGTCGTCCGTCAGCCCGTCGTCCGTCCGTCGTCAGCCCGTCGTCGTCGCGTCGTCAGCCCGTCGTCGTCGTACCGTCAGCCCGTCCCGTCCGTCGTCCGTCAGCCCGTCGTCGTCGTCCGTCAGCCGTCCGTCCGTCCGTCCGTCAGCCGTCCGTCGTCCGTCGTCCAGCCGTCCGTCCGTCGTTCCGTCGCCCGTCCGTCGTCCCGTCGTCAGCCGTCCGTCCGTCGTCCGTCAGCGTCGTCGTCGTCGTCAGCCGTCCGTTCGTCCGTCGCGCGTCAGCCGCGTCGTCCGTCCGCCGTCCGTCAGCCCGTCCGTCCGTCGTCGTCCGTCAGCCCGTCCGTCCGTCCGTCCGCGTCAGCCGTCCCGTCCGTCCGTCGTCCGTCAGCGTCGTCCGTCGTCGTCAGCCCGTCCGTCGTCGTCCGTCGTCAGCGCCGTCCGTCGTCGTCCGTCAGCCGTCCTCCGTCGTCGTAGCGTCGTCCGTCCGTCCGTCGCCGTCCGGTCGTCAGCCCGTCAGCCGTCCGTCGTCAGCCTGTCCGTCCGTCCGTCCGTCAGCCCGTCGTCCGTCAGCCCGTCGTCGTCGTCCGTCAGCCCGTCCGTCCGTCGTCCGTCAGCCCGTCCGTCGTCCGTCGTCAGCCGTCGTCCGTCCGTCCGTCAGCCGTCGTCGTCGGCGTCAGCCGCCCGTCGTCCGTCCGTTCGCCGTCCGTCGTCCGTCCGTGCAGCTCCGTCCGTCCGTCGTGCCGTCAGCCATTTTGTTATATATTTCCCCGTCGTCGCGTCGTCAGCCGTTCGTCGTCCGTCAGCCCGTCGTCCCTCCGTCGTCAGCGTCGCCGTCCGTCAGCCCGTCCCGTCAGCGCGTCCGTCGTCCCCCCCCGTTTTTTTCAAAGCCCCCCCCCCCCCCCCGTTTTTTTCCGTCCCGTTCGGTTTCCCCCCCCCCCCCCCGTCCCCCAAAAAAGCCCCCCGTTTTTTTTCCCCCCCCCCCCCGGTCCGTCTGGTTTCCGTCAGCCGTCCGTCGGTCCGTCGTCAGCCGTCGTCCGTCGTCAGCCGCGTCGTCCGTCTCCGTCAGCGCGTCCGTCCGTCTCGTCAGCGTCCGTCGTCGTCAGCCGTCCGCCGCGTCGTGCAGCCCGTCGTCGTTAGCCCGTCCGTCCGTTAAGCCGTCCGTCCGTCAGCCCGGTCCGTCCGTCAGCCTTTCGTCAGTCCGGTCCCGTCCGTCCGTCAGTTCGTCCGTCGGTTCCGTCGTCGTCCGTCCGTCCGTCGGTCGTTACGTCAGTCCGTCGCGTCAGTCGCAGTTCGTTCCAGTCCGTCAGGCCGGCTATTCGCCGTCAGCGCAAGCTTGTCAGGACCTGTCGCGTCCGTCAGGACCGTTCGTCAGACGGTGTCTGTCGTCAGGCGACCTGTCTGTCCGTCAGGACAGCGTCAGCGGTCCGTCAGGCCGACCTCGCGTCCGTCGCGACTGGTCGTCAAGGCCGACTGTCCCGTCCGTTCAGGCGACTGCGTCGGTCCGTCAGGCGACTGTCGTCCGTCCGTCAGCCGACCTGGCTGTCGGTTCGTCAGGCCGGACTGGGCCGTCCGTCTCGTCAGGCCGACCGTGCTCCGTTCTAGGCCGACCGTGGCGTCCGTCAGGCCGGAAAGCCGCTGTCGTCAGGCCGACCGGCTCGTCAGGGCGACCGTCTGTCCGTAGGCGACCGCTGCCGTCCTCAGGCCGACGCCGTCTGTCCGTCCGGCGACCGTGCCTGTCCGTCAGGCCGACCGGCTGGTCGTCAGGCCGACCGCTGTCCGTCAGGCCGACGTCGTTCCGTAGGCCGCGTGCGTCCGTCAGGCGACTGCCTCCGTCAGGCCGGACTGGCCGTCCGTCAGGCCGGACTGACGGGCGTCGTCAGGCGGACTGTCCGTCCGTCAGGCGACTGTCCGTCGTCAGGCCGTGTCGTCCGTCAGGCGACTGTCCGTCCGTCGCTGCGTGTTCAGGCCGACTGTCTGTCGTCAGGCCGACTGTCCGTCTGTCAGGCCGACACTGTCCGCGTCAGGCCGACGTCCGTCCGTCAGGCCGACTGTCCGTCCGTCAGGCGACTGTCCGTCGTCTGGCGATCAGCGGCGACTGTCCGTCCGTCAGGCCGACTGTCCGTCGTCAGGCCGTGACTGTCCGTCGTCAGGCCGACTGTCGTCCGTCAGGGCCGACTGTCCGTGCCGTCAGGCGACTGTCCGTCCGTCAGGCGACTGTCCGTCGTCAGGCGCGACTGGGGTTCCCCCCCCCCCCCCGCCCCGTTCCCCCGTTTCAAAAAAAGGGCCCCCCGGGAAAAAAAACCCCTTTTTGGTCCCCCCCCCCCCCCGGTTCCGTTTTCAGGCCCCGACTGTGCGTCGTCAGGCCGACTGTCCGTCGTCGGCCTGACTGTCCGTCCGTCAGGCCGACTGTCCGTGCGTCAGGCCGACTGTCCTTCCGTCAGGCCGACTGTTTGTCTGTCAGGCCGACTGTCCGTCCGTCAGGCCGACTGTCCGTCCGTCAGGCCGACTCTCCGTGCGTCAGGCCGACTGTCCTTCCGTCAGGCCGACTAGCCGTCCGTCAGGTGGACTGGCCGTCCGTCAGACCGACTGGCCGTCCGTCAGGCCGACTAGCCGTCCGTCAGACCGACTGGCCGTCCGTCAGACCGACTGGCCGTCCGTCAGGCCGACTGGCCGTCCATCAGACCGACGGTCCGTACGTCATGTCGACTTCCGTCCGTCAGACCGACGGTCCGTCCGTCAGGCCGACTGTTCGTCCGTCAGGCCGACCGTCCGTCCGTCAGGCCGACTGTCTGTCCGTCAGGCCGACTGTCGGGACATTTAGCCTTAAAAAGATTACTGGAGCCTGGAGCGGCGAGGGAAGCTCGGGAGCATGAGCGGGGTCGGGTGCGGCGGCAGCTGGAGCGCAGCTGGTAGATTTAGATTTAGATAATTTAGTCAAAAAACTGTATGTAACGTATAGGGGAGAAGATAATCTGCTAACGTTTTCTTGAGTTCCGGAATCCCTTCCCATCATTTTAAATATAAATAGTTGAAAAATTAATGAAAGTTAAAAACAAATTAATAATAATAATAACAATAACAATAATAATAACAATAACAATAATAACAATAACAATAACAATAACAATA